AGAAACCGAGCACTTTAACACATTCTGAAGGTAATAAATTGTGGTTTTTCACATATTGTATTTTTGACAAAAAGTGAGCAGCAATATAAAGTTTGAGTTTTCACCACAGCAAGAGGTTAAGGAAAATCATGCGACAGCCCTTTAAGATAGAAATTCATCTTGCTTTACTTCCATTTCCTGTTGCACCTCTTTAGGACAGGAAGAAAAGAGAAATCTCCCCAGCACGACACAGGCAGCGAAAAACAAAAAAAAACCCACACCATCTGACGTGTCAGTGTGTCCGTGTCACCGCTGGAGCAATGTGAAGTGCCGGTGGTGTGAGGACTGACGTCAGGCTGGGCTGCAGCTGCGGGTGGAGGAGATCGGGCTGTGAGATGTGCGTGTCTGGGCCAGTGTCCGGGCCGTGGTGAAGATGCAGGATGGAGAATCGGCCGGGGTGGTGGTAAAGTGGGGAAGGATCAGGTTGGTGAAGCAGTGGGTGGAGGCTCGGGCTCCAGGTTGGTGAAGCAGTGAGACACGGACACACTGACACATCCATCTGGTCCCGAGACCCACTTAAAGTAAGTGAACCATTTCCTCTTACTTTCTCCACTGTGCTACTATCAGTTTCTTAGTCCCCCTAGCCTTGCGCCCTCACGTTCGTTTTTTTGTGTTTCACTAGTGCAGGCACTCCTCCTGTCTCTTAGGGCTGCAGGCGAGGCAGAGCTACAGCACCCTATTCCCTTGGCCCAATCCGAGAGCGCTGTTCGTAATATTTGTATGTGCTTTTTACCTAAACCATAGTGCTCTGGGAATCCTTTTTTCTGTATAAAATGTTCATTTGTAAAAAAAACATAGAAAGCATATATACAATATAATCAGAGATAAAACAGTGTAAACATTTATGAACTTAAAATACTGACCTGAAACCATTATAGTTTTACTTTAATACACACTTACTTTCACCTTCTTGCAGCATTTTCAGGACTTGTGCATTCCTGGCTTTTACTTCTTTGTATTTTGCCTTTTTGGGTAGAAGCACATGATCAGAAAAACTGCATTTACACCTTTTTTCTTAACGTGAAACCTAAAAAGGTGAACATCACAATGTATACCTCCCACTGAGATATGATGCTTTTTAGATGCTGTATCTCTGTGTCTTTCTTTTCTATTTCCAACTTTAGTAACTCTGTTCTTCCATCTTTTAGTACTCGTTCCTAGGTTATAAAACACACAAGGCATTTAAAATATGTTGTTTTATTTTATTAAATGTAGCTGCATAATAAATAACTCCTGAAATAGTTGTCATGTATAAATAATAGGATCTTACAATTGTCATCATCATGCATCCATTTAGGATGAATCCCCGATTAGATGATGGTTAGCATATTTACCCAAAATCAGCAAGGATGAGAGTATATTAGGGTATTACAAATATACAATTAGGTCCATAAATATTTGGGCAATGACACCATTTTTCATTTGGACCCTGATGTCACAGCAGTGGATTTGAAGTGAAGCAATCAAAATGTGACTGTAGACTTTCAGCGGCCATTTTCCAAAGAGGGGACTGAGAAAACAACTAAAAAAAAAGTAAGATTTTGTGCTTATATCCTGGATCTCATATGCCTGCTTCATGTACACTCCTTGTGCATTGCTGGCATATGATTTTTCTTAAATGCCTCAGCAAAAGGAGTTTAACCAAAACATTGTACGAACTGTTAAACACCTCCGTGCCGCTGTATTGTAAAGAACAGCGGGGAGATGGACATCCATATCTGGAGTGCTTTTTATAAACAAAAATAGCTCACCTGTCATCAGTTTTCTGAAATCACAAATAACACTGTACAGAGTCAATTTGAGCTACTCTGTACCTTTGATCACTTTGAAGACTAATCACTCACCAGTACCAAGCTCCATATATCCAATATCAGCAAATTTCCTAATTTCCATAAAATCGTAGCAAAAAAGCAGATTCATTTCAGTGTCTATTTTCCAAAAAGGGATGTTCACCCTGTCCTGGCATTTTTATTTGCTATGTTTTATAGCAGAAATGATGGGAAATGTTTTTTCCCCAAAAATTTAAAAATGTTCACCCTTTTATATAGAAAAAAACCCCCAGGGGTTGTTAAATACCACAAAAAGAAAGCTCTGTCTCAAAAAAAAGATATAACCTTTATTTGGGTACAGTGTCACACGACTGAATAATTGTCAAACTATCACAGCACTGAAAACTGAAAGAGCCTTCTAAAGAATTACATGCTGGTACTCAAGTGGTTAAGGATTTACAGCCGTATTATCAGCAACTTGAAAGTAATTGGACAAACCAACATAATGATTAATATAAAGATCATTTGTTGAAAATGCTTTGCAGTAAGAGTTGTCTGCGCTGCTGGTGCAGATTTTCTTCACTGCCGGTCAGCAATAAAATCCAAACAGGGGTTCTAAGCCTTTCACACTCTATCCAAAATTAGGGATGCACCGATACTTGTATTGGTGCCCAAGCCGAGTATTTGGGCGAGTACTCGCCCAAATGCTCCTATGCCTAACCCGATACTTCAAGTAAAAGGAAGCCGGGCAGCTAGTCATTACACGCTGCCCGGCTTCCTGATCGGCCGGGAAGCCGGCTCCATGCTTCCTCGTCACTTGTGATGAAAAAACATGGAGCCGACTTACCGGCCAATCAGCAGGCCGGGCAGCATGTAATGACTCGCTGTTCGGCTTCCTGATTGGTCACCTAGTGACAAGAAGCATACAGACAGCTTCCCTGCTAATCGAGAAGCCGGGTGGCGAGTCTTTACACGCCACCCGGCTTCCCGGCTAATCAGGAACCCAAGTGGGCAAGTCATTACACGCCGCCTGGCTTCCTTAATGGGATTTCAGGTATCGGCGAGTACTGTAAAAAAAATATCGGTACTCGATACCGAAATACCGGTATCGGTGCATTCCTGAATTTAATGTTGGCATAAGTGTGTAGACTTCCCCACTAATCGTCACTTGTTCAGGACCAAAATATATTTCACATACCATGCTGTAATCAGGTGTAGAGATACTTTCTGTTACATCAGTGGTTTGTTCTTTTCTCTTTTCTTTAAGTAGTATTTTGGTGACATCATCTTCCAATTTATTGAAAAATCCACGGTCATGTGGTAACATGGGAGGAGACTTTAATTCCTAAATTTAAAAAATAAATACCTAATATATAGTTAAATATTTATAAATGATGTAGTGGCAACTATATAAACTTACCAATTGTTCAGATGTAAACTTTATACTGAAAAAATAATGAATAAGCTACTATGCCATGCAAATACAGGATTCTCAAAACCACAGAACATAATAGATGTTATCCTTTGTAACTGTATACATGAACAAATCTATACTGCTAGCCAACAACAGAATTTGTGAATTGAGCTACTTTATTTACTTAGGTTTCTGGGCAACATTATTCCCTATTCCTGCCAGTCTTGCTGCAGAAGGGCCTAATGCTGTAGGATTAAGCGTTTGTCATCTTCTGGGTGACGTGTCATGCTCGCTTACGTTTTGCCATAGAGGATCGAGGAAGCATCTCCTAATTAACATCTTGGAACGTCAAGTGATTTAGCAGTGTTGGAACATCATACTGGAGGGTCATCAAATCCAGATTCAGTTGGACAATGCCACAGTGGCCGCATACATCAATCATCAGGAAGCAACCAGAAGTCTAGAGAGAGGTAGATTGGATCCCATCCTGGGCAGAACTTCATGTTCCAGCTTGGTCAGTCATGTACTGTAAATTCCAGGTGTAGAAAAATGGCAGGCAGACTTCCTCAGTGGATAGTGCCTGGACCGGGGGAGCAGGCTCCACACCTGGAGGTATTACAGAACCTGTGTCACAGGTAGAGGACACTAGATGTGCAATAATGCTCAACAGGTTTGTTTCCAGGTACAGGGATCCTGTGGATACAACAGATTCTCTGGTAGCTCCGTGGGATTAGTACATTCTGATCTATGCCTTTCCTTCCCTGAAACCTCTTACTTGCCTGTTTTGCAAGATCGAGATGGAGGGCATTCCAGTCACAGTGATCCTCATTTCTCTGGATTGACCAAAGTGGATGTGGTACACCAACCTCCTGGAGTGTTAGGATTTTCTGTCCCAAGGACTAATTTGCCATACTGTTTCACTGTCCCTGGCTTCAATGGTATGGCTGTTGAATCTCAGGTTCTGAGGAGCAAAGGTATTTCTGAATGTGCGATTCACACAATGCTAGAAGCTAGGAAGTCTCAAGGTTTACCTTTAGAAATATGAGGAATACTTCTCTTGGTGCGAGTCTCAGGGCTTTCACCCCAGGGGTTTCTCCATGGGACGAATCCCCTCCTTCTTGCAGCTGGGTCTGGACCAGCATTTTCCTCTTAGCACCATCAAGAGTCGGGTTTCTTCCCTTTCTATTCGGTTGCAGAAACTATTGGCCTCTTATTCTTTGTTTAAGATCTTTGTACATGGGGTCTTTTATGTAGAACTCCCGTCCATTACCCCATGACTCCATGAGATCTGTATTGGGTTCTCTCTGTGCTTCTGAAATGTTGTTTGACCCCATTAGAGACATTCCTCTCTCTCCACTTTCACCCACAAGGCAGTGTTTCTTGTAAGAAGCGAATGTCTTACAGCAGCCTTATCCGGCAAGTAAGCCTTTATGGTTTTCCATAAGGACAAGTGGTGTAGAGGCCCACAACTTCCTTCTTTCTGCCTTTCACCTCAACCAGGACATTGTTCTTCCATACCTCTGCCTGGCTCCAGCTCATCAAAAGGACATTTTCATTCATTGCCTAAATGTGGTTTGGCTGTCAGGGTCCATATCTCATCCACTGCTGATTCCCTTTTTGTAAATCCAGACTGACCCCAGATAAGGGTGCACTGGCTTCTTGTTCCACCATCTGTAGATGGCCAAGGGAGATAATTATCCATGCTTATGGTATCAAGGGTTTGGGTACCACCCTTACCAGGGTGGTACCCAAGGAGCATTCTACTAGATCTGGGAGTGCTTTTAGGACTTTTTGGCATCAAGCAACTGTTTCTCACATTTGCAAGTCTGCCACCCGGTCTTCTGCTCACATTGTCTCGATGTTCTGCCAGCTTGGGGTATAAGGTCCTTCAAGCGGCAGGCAGTCCCCATTTTTTTTCCGTTGTCTTTTCTTAAGCCTGTTAGCGATTGATTCCAACACCTCAGTTGGACTGCTTTTGAACATCCTGAAGGTTAAAAAAAACTTCCTGTTCCCCTCAATGGACGAGGGAGAAAAATATGATTTTTTTGAACATCCTGGGAACATCCAACTTCTTTTGCAATTACCTTTCGAGGCTTTCCCTCCTTATGGAGGGTGTCAATGATGGTTTTCTGCACAACTGCCAGGTCAGCAGTCTTTCCCATGATTGTGATTCCTACTGAACCAGACTGAGAGACCATTTAAAGGCTCAGGAACCCTTTGCAGGTGTTATGGCTTAATTAGCTGACTAGAGTGGGACACTTTGAGCCTAGAATATTGCACCTTTTCACAATATTCTCATTTTCTGAGATTGTGGATTTGGGGTTTTCATGAGCTGTAAGCCATAATCATCACAATTATGACAAATCACGGCTTGAATTATCTTGCTTTGCATGTAATGAGTCTATCTCATATATTAGTTTCACCTTTTAAGTTGCATTAGTGAAATAAATGAACTTTTGCACGATATTCTAATCATTCGAGTTTCACCTGTATATGCAGTTATTTACGGTACATTCTGGACTCACCTCTGTTTTCTTAGCGTGTTGTTCTGAAATAAGAAAGACAAAAAATACATAAAAAGCAGTTATGCAATTTGGAACTCACTCATTAAAAAACAGAGCAGTAGAGTATTTTAGCCTTAAAATATTTTCTCTGACATTTTCATGAGTCCATCCAATAGGCATTTTCCTCTACTTTTACCTCTTATTTATTACTGGTTTAAGGCTGGGTTCACACCTAGGCGTATTGAATATGCGCGTTTGTCGCGCGGTTCGAGTCGCATGTTTTTACCGCGACTTGCGGTAAAAAAAACACGCGACAAACGCGCGTTTCCGTGGGCTTCTTGGCTGTACCCCAATGGAAACGCGAGACCAAAACGCCCCAAAGAAGTACATGTACTTCTTTGGGCGTAGGCCGTTTTTGTATCGCGTTCGGATGGGCGGAAATACGGCAAGGTGTGAACCAGACCCATTGAATACAATGGGATTTAGATGTTTGAGCGTTTTGTAGAGCGTTCGTCGAGCGTTGAACGCGCTACAAAACGTTCAGGTGTGAACCAGGCCTTATAGTGCTGACAATTTACGCAGAGCTTTACATAGTTGCGCATTCACATCAGTCCCTGTCCTCAAGGAGCCTACAATCTATGGTCCCTATCTCACATGCATGCACACAGGGACAATTTAGATAGGCGCTAAGGAAACCCACGCAAGCAGAACATGCAAGCTCAATGCAGATAGTGTCCTGACTGGGATTTGAAATGGGGACCCTCAGTACTGCAAGGAAGAAGTGCTAACCACTACACCACTGTGCCGCCCTTACTCTACACTACACCACTGTGCCGCCCTTACTCTAGCCCATACTGAGAGAATAGCCACAAGGTCCAGACATAAGACTTGCTACAAATGTATATGCTTGCCCATGTGGTTCATTAGCAAATCTGCTCAAAAACAATTGAAGTGCACACCGCCCGGGATAGTAAAACTATACTTGTAGAATGAGCCTGTAATTTCTGTTGGTGATTTACCTGCCAATTGTATCACTGTTTTAGGGGAATTTCTTCTTTGTGTTGCACACAAGGAAGTGCTAAAGGCATTTACAGGTGTATTATAAGACTGCAGCTTGACTTATAAATACCTACCTCTTCTGCTCTAAAATAAAACTGCAACAATATAAAACCTGTCCAGATCACTTCTTCATTGTGCATGTGTTGTAATTGGGGATTCGCTGATACCGGTTGTTCGGGTACCGAGTACCGAATTTTTTTTTTCCTTTACCCGACGATCCTGAATACTGAAACCGGAAGTCCGAATAAGGAAGCCGGGCGGCATGACATGACTCGCCGCCCTGTTTCCCGATTAGCCAGGAAGCCGCCTTCATGCTCCCTCGTCGCCAGGTGACGAGGAAGTATGGAGCCGGTTTTCTGGCCAATCAGGAAGCCAGGCGGCGAGTCAATACACAGCGCCCGGGAAGCCGACTCCATGCTCCCTGGTGACGAGGGAGCATTTCCCTCATCACCAGGTGATGAGGGAGCTGGCCTCCCGGACAATCAGAAAGCCGGGCAGCGTGTGATGACACTCAGTTCGGCTTCCCGATACCGGAAGTAGGAGTACTCGCCCAAATACTCAGTATTGGTGCATTCCTAGTTTTAATATATTGTGCTTCCGTTTTGAATCAAATTCTGGCTTATTTACAATATAATATATATATATATAATCTGTTACAATACTGAGAGTCGGCTGTCCAGAAATGCAGGGAAAAGGGTTGCAAATACACAAATATCTTTCATATAAATGAAAAGCAGCTAGATTTGCAATAGATGTTCTACTCATTCAGTTTCTAATTTGAGTGATAAGTCTCCATCAGTGTGTTGTCTGCTTTTGTCAGTAGACCTTTTGGACCCTCTAAAACAAGACCAGTTTTCTTTATGCATGTATTTTTTTTCTAAATATTGGAAAAACTTATGTTTATCTAAGGAACTACATTAAACTTCTCAATTTTTAGTGTTTTGACAAAAAGGCAAAATTATCTCGTTATGGAACATGGATACCACTTTCAATTAAAAGGAAGTTGTAAAGAAAAATATATTAGATAGGAGGCATATATATATTATTCATAATAAGTCACCTTCTGATTGAAAGTCTTTTAAGGATACTGTGAGAGGCTTGTCTTTCCCTTGTAGATTCTTGCGCTTATCCTTTTTGCCAACTCTTTTTGATTGAGGGGATACATTTTCTCCACTATCATTTTCCTTAGAAAGAAAATCAAAAGGGAAATAGATTACAAAGTTGTACTTCTGATAACCTGCTAAATATTTTGCACACTTTTACCTTGCAGGATGGTCAGTGCCTTACCCATCTAACTGTTTCAGAGGGTTTCTTAAAAATATATACACATGATCATCGGGTGTTAAAGCATACCTGGCGCTTGTGTTTGAATTTTCCACCAATGGTCTCAACTTTGGAACTGTAGGCAGGTGGATGTTTACTACGTGGAGGATTTTTTTTGAAAATAAAGCCTACAGTGTGTTCAGTTCTGCATGGTACAGGGAAGCAATTAGTTCTGAAGGTTTCTGTATAATGGGCCTGTCATATCAACACCATTCTTCTGCTCCAGAAGCCAGGTAGTTCTCAGATAAAGTTAGGAACCCATGTCAAGCACCTAATTTTGACATGAATGTGTGCAGGGTATTCATTATTTCTCTGAAAATGATAAAAAGGTTTCAAACATTGGTCATGCTAAAACATGACCAAGTGCATGCCACTGCTTCTTTTACAACAAATCACACATTTACAGCACGTAAACAGTTTCCTGATGCTCAACTATAAATAGCTATTGTATATGTTAGCTAATACAACACATGCCACTCATTTATCTAAATTGTCTAAAATTAAGAACTTTTTTTTTTTGCTCCATAGAAAGCAAATACATCTCTAACAAGAAGGGAATCAAGTGCAGAAGTCAAAATCGGATTGGTTGCTAGAGAGTATTGCATACTCTTGTTACTGGAGACACCTTCTTTAAAAAGGCCTACAGAAAACTGTGTCACATTAACAAATATGAATAAAACACAAACATACACAAAATAAAGTTATCAATTATTAAAATGATTTATTCATAAATTACAAATGTTTAACGACACAGAACAAAACCCCCATAGTAATACGATTACATGTATGTATGTACAACGTTTGTACAGGTTTGATGTTCTTCTCATGTTTTGGGGTGGGGGTCCTTTCCTAGTGATTCAGAGTAAAGCCATGTTTCTTCATTTTCTCAAAACAAAAACAATAAAAAAAACCTCCAGAATATATTGGTGCTTATAATATATTTAATTACGGCCATATTTTGCACTGCATCCATTGTTTTAAAAAATTACTCATACGAGGGCGTGCCCGGCCGCCGATCGTAATGGCCGCGATTTGAGTGAGCTCCATGCTCTGTAGCCCTGTCAGCAACGAAATACACTGCATCATACAGCCTCTCTCACCTGATCGTAGGTCTGATTCCTCTCTCACCTCTCGCCACTCTGCGACAACTGTCATCATGTCCAAACAGGGGAAAAGACATCAGAAGCCCCAAAAGTTATCGGACTCCTTCCTGGCCGCTCAGGTAAGGGGAAGCAAAGATGGCGCCGGCTCCATGCGGTCTCCGTCTGCTCGATCGAGGTCTCCCTTATCTGATGGCTCGATCGCAGACTGCAATCCATCAGCCTCAACTTCATCACAGGCACAGCAGGGCGAGTCATCTCCCCCAGATTCTCCCACAACACGCAGCCCAGCCAAAGCTAAGCGTCCTAAGGGAGCGGACTTCCTCTCCACACTCCTCACGGCCAGCTTCACCACCCCATACACTCTCCATGTCCCCTGAAGCATATCCCTCCACTGCTGATCCAGCATCATCAGCAGATATGAAAGACATAATAATCAATAAGGTCTGCGCCAGTGAAAGCTACAAAGCACTAATGATCATGAATCAAAATAAAATAATAAATAATGTGCCGAGCTGGTTATCAATCAAAACATAACAAACCGTAAACATCTATGCACTAAAATCCCATAAGAGTGAAAGTTCAAATGTGATAAAAAAAATGATATGTATATAAACTACTGAAAAATTGTGAAAGTGATGATTGTAGTGATCTTCTATCCAAGAAATCTTGCAGACCACAAGATTTAGATGAGTCCTTGGGACTGGACCTGAAGGACTCATCTACACCCTTCAGAGAGGGTCTTTTACCCTCTTCCTTTCTTTATAGGGCTCCTGGTATTTCCATCCTTAAACCAGGCACAGCAAGTTCTTCTGTTGACTTTTTTGGGCATCACCATCTGCCTATTGCCCTCATCTTCTTTAGTAGCCAATGCTACCCATGATTGTCGGCCTTTTTTGCCGACCGGTTTTTATTAGGTTTCATTTTGGTTATTTTTTTCAATACTGGTCACACACGATGATTCTTGTCCATCTTCATGCTACATATGCGCCCTTTCCCACACTCCTATTGTTGCACCTGATCTACCACAGTGGGCCACTTCCGTGTTCTCATCTTAGATCCACTCCTACCCTATTAAACATTTTCCTAAGTATTGATGCCGGTTAAGTTCACATCCATCAATGCCAAGGTCTCAACAGTTATCAGAAGAGATAACTTACTGCAGGAAGCTAGGAAACTCTGTAGTGAAGTCTTACTAGTGCAAGAAACACATTTTGCCAAATCTAAGACTCCTAACTTCAAATTCAAAGACTTTCCACATATCTTTCTTGCCAGTGCGGAGAAGAAAAAAGCCAGAGTAGTTATTGCTGTGCACTCCTCAGTAGCTTTTTGCCTGAATTAATGCATTGTCGACCTTAACGGGTGATTTCTTATCTTGAAATGTGAAATTAATGCACAGTTTACTATAGATAACCTGCATGTCCCAAATGTCGGACGGATCAAATTTCTGAAAAAATTACTTAAACTTGTTGACTCGCATAAAATCGGGCACATTCCTAATAGGAGGTGACTTTAATGCAGTTCACGACAACGTCTTGGACTCTACCACAGGTAAATCTTCTCATACTAACATTGGTGATTTTTTATTTCGGAGGGGTCTGTCCGACATTTGGAGGTGCCAACATGGCGACGAACGCGATTACACGTTCTTTTCCCATGTGCATCACTCATGATCACGTATAGATTTGTACTTTACTGACGCCTTCTCCCTGCCTTTGGTTACATCCTCGGATATAAGCTTGATCATCTAGTCTGATCATGCCCCTATATCTGTCAGTGTCCTGGGCCATCCCGCTACTGCGGGCTCAAGACTCTGGAGTCTCAACACCCTCCTTCTAGCAAATACGACCTATGATTCGCAAATTGCGAAGGAACAAAAACTGTTCTTCGATATTAATGACACTCCAGACACTGACAGATATACACTGTGGAGCTCCCACAAGGCTTATATTGGAGGGATTTCCTTGAATGGTCCTACTTGCTTCCATCAAGCAAGTAGTGAATGTCCTACTTGCTTCCATCTAGGGCTGCAACAACTAATCGACATAATCGATTATTGAAAAAGTTGTCAACTTTTTCAATAATCGATTAATCGGCTTCCGATCAGTTGGCCCTGTTCACGGCTTCCTACATACTGCACGTCGCACCTCCTCCCCACCTCACACTCGCCGCTGCCAGGCCCGCATCCACGCTCTACACGCCGCACCTCCTCCCCGCCTCACACTCACCGCCCGCCCACATCCACGATCGGCACAGGGACGCGGGGAGATGTAGTAAGGAGGAGCAGGTGTGGGGGGATGACAGCCGCCGATAGACAGGTCCGATCTCAGAAGCAAGTTGCTGGAAGACTGCTCAGGTAAGCCTGCACTTTCCCACACATGGTGCTCTATAATGTATTGCTGGGATTTGTATTCCTCTATAGCTGATGGTACATTGTGATGTATATGTACCATCAGCTATAGAGGACTACAAATCCCAGCAATACATTATACACTGTATGTATAATGTATTGCTGGGATTTGTTGTAGTCCTCTATACAGTAGTTGGTGATATTCTGCACTGCGCTGTATAGAGGACTACAAATCCCAGCAATAATACATTATACAGTGCAATGCCGAATACCACTAGCTATAGAGGACTACAAAACCCAGCAACAGTACATTATACAGCGCAATGCAGAATACCACCAGCTATAGAGGACTACAAAACCCAGCAATAGTACATTATACAGCGCAATGCAGAATACAGCCAGCTATAATGTACTATTGCTAAAAATTTGTTGTAGTCCTCTATAGCTAGTGGTATTCAGCATTGCACTGTATATTGTATTATTGCTGGGATTTGTAGTCCTCTATAGCCGATGCCATTCTGCATTCATTGCTGTATACATTTACACTTTCCATTTCACTATATTACACACCACACTTTTTTTTTTCTTTTTTACTTCCACCGCTCCAAGCTTGCTCCTGTGATGGACTACAACCTCAATACAAACTAGTAGTCCCATCACTGGAGCCATTTTTTAAAATGTATTTTATTGTTTATCCGATTAACCGATTAATTGAACTTAATAAATCGGCTAACGAATCGATTTTGAAAATAATCGTTAGCTGCAGCTCTACTTCCATCAAGCATCTAAATGGTTTGCATAAAAGCTCTCCCTCCCTACAAATTTCTAACCATCTTAGAGAAGAACGTCAAAAATTGCATATTCTCCTGTCAGATGATTAAGAGCATATGCTTAAAAGATTGAAGGCCACCTCTTATGCACTCAACAATAAGGCCACTTCCTTTCTCACTAACAAAATTAAAAATAGAACGGCTCACTCTAGATTGCCCTTTCTAACAGACCCGGTGACAGGTAAAAAAGAATTCGCTCCTAATAAGATGGCCAATGTCTTCAAATCATATTACTATTCACTGTATAACCTACACGCTGACCCCGATACTCCCCAACCGACTGATTGCAATATTCGTGCCTTTCTGGATCGTCTCCAAATACCTGCCTTATCGTCACATCACTTAGCTCAATTATCTGAACCGCTTACGTGCCAGGAGATAGGGGCTATCATAGCTTTGCTCCCCATACATAAATCCCCAGGAGGGAATGGTATTCCGAATGAATACTATAAAATGTACTCTGACATGCTCACCCCCCACCTTACTGATGTCCTCAACAAAGCAAGGACCACGGGTTCTTTTCCGAGTGAAATGTTTCCCGGTAGAATAGTCCCCAAACCTCACAAAGATTCCTCCCTTCCGGGCAATCATAGACCTATTTCCTTGCTAAATTCAGACATAAAAAACTATGTGAAAGCCTTATCCATTCGACTCCTTAACATTCTCCCCCTACTCATACATCCCGATCAAGTTGACTTCACGAAAGGAAGGCAAGCCCCCGATGGCACCAGGCGTATCCTCAACATTCTCAGACATGTCGAAGTTTCCAAATCTCCATCACTACTCCTTTCCCTAGATGCCAAAAAGGCATTCGACAGAATCCATTGGAGATATCTCAGAGCTGTGCTCCAAAAATGTGGTTTTCAAGGATCCTTCCTAACTATTATTCTATACCTATACTCTTCCCCTAGCGCGTAAATTTTCCTATCAGGTACTTTGTTGGATCCTTTCCCTCTTACTAATGGTACCCGCCAAGGTTGCCCCCTATCTCCCATCATTTTTGTACTGTTAATGGAACCCATTGCCCATCTTATACGTACTGATACGAATATTTCTGGGGTCACCATAGGTCCTACCGTACGTAAAATAAGTCTCTTCGCAGACGATATTCTACTTGTACTCACAAACCTTAAAACTTCTTTACCAGCTGTATACTCATTACTCTCTCAAATTTAGCGAAATTTCCTTTTATAAACTTAACGTCTCTAAATCACAAATATTACCCTTACGACCCTGCATCCCTGAAATTGCTTGTTTCTGCAAAACACCCATTTACTTTGTTATCTAATTTGATCCCTTATCTTTGCATCACTTTACCCAAATCCTCTGTCCACAGCTATGCCCTAAATTACAAACCACTTAACAAATACCAGCTGATCTTCAAAATCTTTCTCAATGATATATTTCAGTATCAGGTAGGATAGCGGATTTAAAAGTGTTTATACTCCACAAAATGTTGTACGTCTTTAGGAAGATCCCTATACTGCCTCCTTCTTTCATTAGAACCCAACAACAACATATCCTCCGCTTCATATGGCAAGGACGTAAACCCATGTTCTATACAAAAGTAGATTAGTTGGAGGTCTGGCCCTACCCAACCTAAAAGTCTACCATAAAGCATAGCTGCTAGACCAACTTCAATATTGGTGCAAACCTTCTCCGGATAAACAATGGGCCCATATGGAACTTTGGCTCTTGAAAGCTATATCAGCGGTGGATATTTTACTATCCTCCAAATTTTAAAAACTTAGTTACCTCCCGCCATATGCATCTGTTCGAGCCACCATAGAGGCCTGGTTATCACTGTCGCTGTCCTCGCCCATGTCCGTTTCTCAACATAACGTTCATCCCTCACTTAACGTATTGACTTATTGTGTCCCCCACATTTCTTTGACCAAGTGGATCCAACATGGTGTTACCCACATCCCTGATCTCTATATTGACGATGATGCCCTAAACCCGCATACATTGAAACCAATCTCTCTCTTATCCTCTCAATACAATATTCCGCTGGTTGAATTTCACAGATACTATCAGATCGACCATTGTTTTGCACGACACACCGATCCCAGGAACGAGGAGTATTGACACAAACATCTATAAGTTTCTGTTTAGTCCTTCTCCATCTTCCAAAAGGTATTGTATTGTTCTAGAAGTTGCTAGGGAATACTCATCACTTTTCAAAATCTACACATATGCTTAAATGGGAACGTGAATTGGAACCTCATTTTCCGATCAACAATGGTTAAAGGTTATTCAATTCTCTTACCGAAGTACCCGCTGCACCTCTCATTGGGAGACCTTCTATATATTGTTACAAAGATGGTATCACACACCTTATAAACTGGCCAAATTTTCCAAATCATATTCACCTAATTGCTGGAGGTTGTGGCGACACGGGATCTCTAGCCCATATTTTTTGGCATTGTAAATCGATTCGCTCCTTTTGGAACCAGATATTCACACTCATTTCCTAATTCATGTCTGCCCCTGTTACTCCCTCCATTGCTTAGGAATTACTACATATAGATCTGGACCTATTCCCTACCTCTTCTAGAGTTATTATATCTCATTCTATACGCAGCAAAGTCTTTAATCACAAGACACTGGCGCTCACCCCCCCTAACTTCTCTGATGTGGTTCACCTAACAAATCTGCAATGTTCATACGAACGCATATACTCTTACAAGAATCATACGTTCCACCTGTTCCATAAACAATGGAACCGATGGTCTACAAGCACAAATTACTCATAGTGACCTTATCCTTTATTGACATTGTTTGACACTTTTTGTTCTTATGGTTTTTACAGCCTTCTGTTCTATCGCTATAGGTGTGGTTAATGCTTTCTTACTATATATACACACACACACACACACATAACTCTTTCAAGCACCATTGAAATCTGCATTAAATTTGCGTATTTTGGGTGCTATTTACATATATGACACGTACTTGTACCTTATTTTGTCATATATTCACCACACGTATCGTGGGTTGTTCTGTTTTCATTGTTCTGTATTATACAAAAGTATTCAATAAAAGACATATTGGAGGGGGAAAAAATTACCCATACATAGCCTAGTTAATCCAGTACCAGGCTGATCTTACGTAGCATAAAAAAAACCCACCCCAAAACAAACAATAAAAGTATAACAGCCTGTGTCAGTGGGCTTTTGTTCACTTCAGCAATTTAAGAATTCCCATACAAGTTTGTAGGAATGCAAAACCTGCTTCAAGCAGGTCAATTGCAGGTCAAATGCTCCTGTCAATGAATTCTGGATGATCTTAGAAGCATCTCAAACTGATGCTAAACTGATTCCACAAGCCCAAAGGCCGTAGACCCAGGCCCTTAATGTAATTGTTTCTCATGGAGTGGTAGGAGTTCCTATTTCATTTACTATGATACATGAGACCAAATGTGGTTGAATACTTGCTAAACAAGATATATCATCTTTGGTTTTAGCAGACGCTGATAATCATATGTTTTACCCTAGGAAACAGACCTTGTGAAAACAAAAATTAGTGAGGTCCAAAGCAGATTCGGTAAAGAGATTATGGTGTATGTACCAGTATGTAACTGGTGTATGCAAGGGCAAGACCATAACGTATTAAAAGAATCTGCCTCAACCTCGGAAGCAAAAAATTGAATGATGAAGTTTAAGTTATGGAGCCTCAGTGGAGGGTATTAAATGTAATAGTAAAGTTCAAGCTATATTAGTTTGTCTTCTGAGAGAACGGAGGATATATATATATATATATATATGTAATACAAAAGATGTCTTGCTGCACTCCTTACTGGAAATGATGACCTGCAGAAAGCAGGTGAGTGCTAGTAGTGACCACGGATGGCGCTGTGATGTACATGTAAATTTCAAAAGATGTCACCAGCACACCGTAGTCTTTCTGAGCCTGATGAAGGGGACCCTGTGCAGCCCCGAGAGTGCTTGCATTTGAGTGGCATTTGTTTGTCAATAAATGGACTTTTGCTGATTGCACAAAAGACTATGGTGTGCTGGTGACATCCTTTGAAATTTAAATGAAGATATATGTCTCCTTAGAGTCCGCCCAGTCCTACGGTCAGCTGAAGTAGTATTTTTTTGCGATTTATCTCATATAATATATAGGAACATTGGTTGGACTTGGTGATGATGGTCATGTTTGAATTGTAACTGCAGCTAAGCAACCTGTAGAGGTCTACAGTAATAGCATTAAAGCTCAATAAGTGCAATAACCATTTGTTTCCCTTGCCTTAAATGATCAATGTGTCTGAATAAACAGGTGTGTGAAGCCTTCACTTTTTTCTGATACCGGCGCCAAACTGTAATCTTTACTGCCATTTTGCTCCTGTAATGGGAAACCAGCCCACTTCGTACATTAGAAGTTCCCAGACAAAAGCACATTACTTGTGGAACTGTAGTCTAAATGGGTTTGGTTGGTAGCACAGCAACACTTACAAGACCATCTCCAGTTGCAGGGGAGAAACTGCAATATCGCCTCAACATTAAAAGCTACTCGTTCTGGCATAAGCCTGATGCAGAGAATGAGAACTGCTAGGTGCAGGTGGAGCTCTGAGGTCGCAATTTCAGTTGTGATTAATTCTTACATGCTTGAGCACAAAGTGATCCTAAACTCAGGAGTTAAATCTTAAAAATGCATTGAAATACCTTAAAAATTAACAAAAATGTATCTTATGTGTGTATCACTCAGCTGTTGATCCTCAAATCATCTCTGAATTGGTGCTGACACTGTCCTTCCTTCTGGAGGGGGACTACTTTTGTTCCCCATGGTACCTGTGTGTGTTGTAAAGTAGTCACCGCTCTAAGCTCTCTCCCCTGATGGACTACAATCTCAATACAAATTAGCACGTGAGATTGTAGTCCATCACGGGAGTAAGCTTGGAGCCGTGGCTACTTTACAACATACACGGGATCCATGGGGAACAAAAGTAGCCATCCTCCAGAAGGAAGGACAGTGTCAGCACCAATTCCGAGATGACCTGAGGATCTACAGCTGAGTGACACAAATAAGATACAGTTTTGTTATTAGTTAAGGTACTTGAATGAATTTTTAATATTTAGCTCCTTTGTTTAGTGTCACATTAACGCAAGGCACAGCGCCTGAAAAGTGTGAACCCAGCCTACAGTCTGAATATTTATTAAGCTTTTTATCTTTCCTTTCATACATAACAGAAAAAAAAAGTGTACTATTTTACAGCAAAGCAACTGGGAAAAATGTACCTTTTTCTGTTCCTCATATTGTAGCTTACTCAGAATTAAGGCTTTCTCAAGATCTGCTTCAAACATATCAGATGTCAGCTAGAACAAAACAAGAAATATGTAGGCAATATTAAATATGAAAAAAGGTGGATGATTACAGGATTTGCTTTCTCAAAAGGTTTACAAAACAACCTGCTAAAGCACTTTGTTCACTGCTCAACCATGCCCCTTCTACTTGGTCAACCATACTCACATTGCTTAGCCTGAACACATCAACATTTTTAAATGTAGCTGTGCAAAATCTGATTACTGTGGATTGAGAACTAAATTAAAGAACATAGTCAGTGCTGCTTCCCTGATTGCAGAAGAGGGCTGTACGGTCTATAAGTAATAAGCATTCCTCTAGGGACAAATTTGCAAACAGACTTTGTGTTTCAAGTCTACACACATAACCATTTCTGTAAAGGTAAAAGAATAATTACACTGAAAGAGAAACTTTACCCATATCTTTAAAATAACAACAAAGGCACCTTTAGAAATGTTTAGTGATGACAATCTACAAACACTTACTTCTAGATAAGTGCAGGCTTTGTATTCTTTGCATTCCTTATTTCTCTTTTCTTTCCCCAGTCTTCTTACAGTGGCCATTTTTACTAAGGGTAGATTAATACATCTTCCTTTACTTCCTGGAACTCTGGCAGATGTGACCATGTACATCATCTCAGGGAAGGAAAATGCCTTCCCCCGATATCTCATGAGATTACAGATAAGATTTCCCAGCAATGCTCTGCTGATGTAACCTTCCCAGGATACAACGCTTGGGCATGATTACATCATTAGTGCCAAACTGGACCAGTAAGTGGATGCATTCTATTTGTAAGTAAATGAAAAATAAGTTTAACTGATGAATGTAAGATGATTAAGATGATCTTGTATCAGTATGCAGAGTTGATGTGATTTTTAGTCAAATGGGGTAAAAGTCCAATTTAAGTGACGTATACCATCAAAGTAGCAGATTTTTAGATTTAATTTCTGTGCAGCTTTTTCCCCAGTTGTGTTTCCTGGACTTTGCTATCATTTCAACACCTTCTGTTTAAGCACATTTTCTCTAAAGGTTTTTATAGTTTTTTTAAAAATTAACAAGTACAAATCTATGCAAGTGAATAATATTAGTGGGATCAATATCTAAATGGCGTTTTAGCACTTTTTTTGGGTACTTTTGTAATTGTCTTTTTAACTTCAAGCCTTAGTAATTAAAAAAACAACAATACAAAAAAAAGGAGAAAACCAGATGTAAAGTGAAAATATAAGAAAGAAACAAGATGAAGCTTGCAAATTCTACCATTATAAGCATATTTAATTGACCAAACATGATAGTCCTCCAATGGCGACACATGTTCCTGTGAAAAATGTCTAAGAAGGGATATTCCTCACATTGCAATGATATCCTCTCCCTTTCTGTTGAGTCTAAACAGAAATTGAAGGAAAATTTCTCTGCTGCCCCCTATCCCAAATGAAAAAAGTTTTGGCTATAGATATACACTGCTCAAAAAAATTAAAAGGAACACTTTTTGATCAGAGTATAGCATCAAGTCAATGAAACTTCTGGGATATTGAGCAGGTCAGTTAAGTAGCAGAGGGGGTTGTTAATCAGTTTCAGCTGCTTTGGTGTTAATGAAATTAACAATAGGTGCACTAGATGGACAACAATGAGACGGCCTCCAAAACAGCAATGGTTTTACAGGTGGCCACTGACATTTTATTCCTTACTATTCTTTTCTGACTGTTTTTCACTAGTTTTGCATTTGGCCAGAGTCAGTGTCACTACTGGTAGCATGAGGCGATACCTGGACCCTATAGAGGTTGCACAGGCATGCCAACTCCTCCAGGATGGCACATCAATACGTGCCATTGCCAGAAGGTTTGCTGTGTCTCCCAGTCACAAGAGCATGGAGGAGATTCCAGGACACAGGCAGTTACTGTAGGAGAGCTGGGCAGGGCCGTAGAAGGTACATAACCCATCAGAAGGACCGGTATCAGCTCCTTTGTGCAAGAAGGAACAGGATGAGCACTGTCAGAGCCCTACAAAATGACCTCAAGCAGGCCACTGGTGTGAAGGTCTCAAACCAAACAATCAGAAATAGACTTCATGAGGGTGGCCTGGGGGCCCGACATCCTCTAGTGGGCCCTGTGCTCACTGCCTGGCACCGTGGAGGTCGATTGGCATTTGCTATTGAACACCAGAATTGGCAGGTTCGCCACTGGCGCCCTGTGCTTTTCACAGATGACAGCCGGTTCACCCTGAGCACATGCGACAGACGTGAAAGGGTCTGGAGAAGCCGTGGAGAACGTTATGCTGCCTGTAGCATCGTTCAGCATGACCGATTTGGTGGTGGGTCAGTGATGGTCTGGGGAGGCATATCGATGGAGGGACGCGCAGACCTCTACAGGCCAGACAATGGCACCCTGACTGCTATTAGGTATAGGGATGAAATCCTTGGACCCATTGTCAGACCCTACGCTGGTGCAGTGGGTCCTGTGTTCCTCCTGGTGCACGACAATGCCCGGCCTCATGTGGCGAGAGTATGCAGCCAGTTCTTTGAGGATGAAGGAATTGATACCATTGAATGGCCCCCAAGCTCGCCTGACCTGAATCCAATAGAACACCTCGCGGACATTATGTCTCGGTCCATCCAAGGCGTCAGGTTGCACCTCAGTCTGTTCAGGAGCTCAGTGATGCCCTGGTCCAGATCTGGGAGGAGATACCCAGGACACCATCCGTCGTCTCATTAGGAGCATCCCCCTACGTTGTTAAGACATCCATACAAATACGTGGGGGCCATACAAATTGCTGAGTACCATTTTGAATTGCTGCAATGAAATTTCAGCACAATGGACTAGCCTGCTGCATCATTTGTTCACTTTGATTTTTGGGGTGTCTTTGAATTCAGCCCTCTGTAGGTTGATCATTTTTAATCCATCAAACGATGTGACATCCTTTCGTTCCTAACACATTACCCAGTCCAGTATACAGTAGATAGCCAGCATGATATTTTTCCCCATTGAGATCTGATGTGTTTTCAAAGTGCTCCTTTAATTTTTTTGAGCAGTGTACTTTGTCTCCTGTGACTAAAGAAAAACCAAGGGCTCCCATTACTTACTATATTTTGTTAGAGTTTAAAGACTATTTTGATATCCAAAAAGGACTACTGGCAACCAGGAGGCTGAGAGAACACTATGTGACTTCTAGTATAAATTACACAACAACATTTGCTTGGTTCCTTTGTGACATCCAATATACAATTTAAAGCATAGTCTCCATGACTCACTATGTGATGAATATTCAAAGAGGAATAAAAGGGTACACAAACCTGTTCATCTCTCTGTTGCCACTGCTGCCAGTCTTCTCCATGAGCTTCTTTAGCTATACCGTGTGGCCCTGACTCCTGCTGGGACCCACCAGTACCTTGAGAGGTTTTCTGGGGAATCTTCTTAAATGCCAGATTCCTTAACTACCAAGAAAGCATTTGACAGTAAGTGACCAGCAATAAATGTAAACAGTGACATATTAGGTGACCTATAAAAATATGATTAGTCTAGTGCAGCAGTCACCAACCTTTCGGACCTCATGGACCACTAAATTCATAAATGACCGCTGGTCTAGTGCTCAAATGATTCCAACCAAACTGTAGGCAAACTGTATAAAGCCTAACTATAGCTTTGTTATTAAATTAAAAAATAAGTAGACCAAGAATAAAAAGTAGTGCTGGCAACAATACTTACCTCCTTTCCCATGCTGTCTATGATCCAAATTTGGTTCTTCCTGGGTTATATGACAGCGGTATCTGATTTACATCCTGTGACCCAGGCCAACATTGACACATCACTTGAGAAGTGTATGACAACATCATCCTGAGCTCTTGACCTGAATTAAGCTTTAATACAGATCACCCTATCCATGAAAATATCTCACGGATGAATTCTCTTTCGAAAGTCTAAGCTACCCCACTACAGCCAGATTTGCCATTACAGCAGATGAAAGGTAGAATCTGAATGGAATGCTATGAGGCAACCCAGAATCTCTCTCTCTCTCTCTCTATTTCTCGAATCTTAACAAAGTGAAAAATATATACTGAGCGCCAGAAGCATGCCAGAGCAAAAAAATAAAAGATAAGCACAAGTCCTTTTTCCTGTTACCCTAGGCAAATACAAACATTTAACCCTTCCAGTGAGGGGGGGAGCCACAATACATACGTAGTTTTTTAGTTCCCTGGAGTTCAGCTTTAAACATGTATAGTGAGCATTAGTAACCAATAAAGAACTGTTTCCTATTATTGCATATTGAGCAGAATCAATCAGCAGTTGCCCAGTTTGGAAAGTGAGGCTGCAGCAGGATTGGTGTGCACAGCTGTTGTCTAGAGCAGTGCTCCCCAACCTTTTTATCGCCGCAGACCGGTCAACGTTTGATAATTTTACCGCGGGCCGCTGAGGGGGGCGGGGGGACAGGGGCGAGGCCCGGGAATTGGGGACCACTGGTCTAGAGTACTGAAATTGATGTGCAGTAACCGCAGCTATATCTGTCCTGTCTTTGAGCACTAAGAAGAGGATGGGATTGAAGAGGATGGAATTGAAATGATCATATTGTAAAAAAAAAAAACAGTTAAGGAGTACAGTAGAGTTTTGAAAAGCACTGAAAAGCTTACACATTAATTTGTGGCTTGAAAGTCAAAATAATAAGGTTTCATTGAGCAAATAAAAAAAGTTTTTTTTTTTCCGTTTTAAATAAGAGTATAGAATAGTTCAAGCTCCTATATTCTTTTTTTTTTTTGTCGCGAGATTTCTCTTCAATGCCTGTCTCGGATATGCAGATCAAGAACCATAAAACCAATCTAGGGCCATAAAACCAAAAATAAATATTATGCTTGTTTATTGTAAAATAATAAATCTAGATGGTAACACAAATTAAGAGTATCCTATATAAAGATGTATTTCAGCATGTTATTACCTCATTGGCCTCGCTTTGTTGCTGTTCTTTCTTCTTCCTACGTTTTTCCCTCTTCTTCTCATTTACATTGCTTTTACCACTTGTAGCAGATGTGGTGCGTGATTTCCCAGCACCACGTGGAACTTTAGTCTTCTCCGAATCAGAGTCACTGCTGCTGTCTACTTGCAGCAGAGCAAAGCGGGAGGCAGTAGTGGGCACCAAACTTGCCACAGCAGAAGCCATTGTGGAAGAATGTCTCTGTAAAATACATGATAAATTATGTTTTTCATTTACACAACCATAATCCAGAAAGGAAAACTGCAATGTGCCATCAGTGAGAAAACAGTATGTAAAGTTGACCCATATGTAATTACGCAACTTCTAATAAAGCGCAACTATGCACAACCACTACCATAATACTGGACAGGAAGCATAGTGTTTATAAGTAATTAAATGAGACAGAATTCACTGTAAATTCTTCACTACCAACAGAACAGTAACCATGTTTTTAAAACAACACACACAGATAAGATTTCTGCACTCACCATAAAATACTTTTCTTAGGGTTCATTGAGGACTCAGGTTCCAACCATTTGTTTATGATCACACGGGTAGTCATATACGGTTAGTTTATACTGTTGCCTAAAGGAGGATTTGGGCATGCGCAAACAAAAATATCTACCTAGGATAACCCCTTTTTTTATCCACTGTGCCTCCATTTGTAACCAGCAATACCAACAGCATGGTCACACAGAAGGGTGGGAGTCCATTTAAAGGGACACAGGTCCCACCCTCTAGTATTTATAACCATACTCTTGGCATTGCTTTGCTAAAAAAAAGAGGAAATCATTTTTACAAATCACTACAAAAATCAAACTGATGCCCAAGACCAAAAAGAAACGGTCACCAGCCAGAAAAGAATGGCTTTTACTCACTACCCAATTTTATAAATATTTACAATTAAGGCATGCACTTATGGTACATCCAGGCGTCCGAGAGGTTTGTATTAGTATAAATATGGCTAACTCTTCAATGCAACTATGACAAGAGGATCGATTTAAAAAATTTACTCAAGCTTATTACCTGGGGCTCTGAATAAATCACCTATGAAACGTAAAGGGGGTTGGGAACTGGATGTGGGCCTATTAGACGATTCCCTATAGAGGGAGGCGCTGCTCTCAATCCAATTAGTTTCACCGTCTGCATCACATAAACTAACACAGCTCTATATTGTACATAGAACATATCGGACCCCTGAATTCCTATACAAGATAGGACTCAGGGAAAATTCTAAATGCCCAAAATGTGGGGTTGAACCAGGCTCACTGATACATCTGCTGTGGAGATGTCCAAAGCTGAAACTATATTGGCAGGAAATTATGGACATAATAAATATAGCTTTTGGAGTTCATATTTCTAATGGACCTCCTGCAAGGAAAATTAGCCAACCTAAAACAGGATATCAGGAACAGTGCTCAGGGGACCAGCTGATTCTCCTGGAAACAAACTTAAAACATCAAGAAGCAGCATCCATTGTAAGTCAGGGGTGTGGAATTCCTATCGCCCGACGCCCTGGACAGGCAGTTTCGGGCGCCGGGCGAGTAGTTTCTTTGTACATTTAGCGCTTCTCCGGAAAAGCAGAGCTCACACTGGGTTCACACCTAGGCGTATCGAATATGCGCGCTTGTCGCGCGAGGGCTACTTGGCTGTATCCCAATGGAAACGCACGACAAAAACGCCCCAAAGAAGCTCCTGTACTTCTTTGGGCGTTGGCCGTTTTGTAGCGCGTTCATATGGCCTGAAATACGCCCAGGTGTGAACCATACCCATAGGAAATAATGGGATTTCGGTGTTTGAGCGTTTTGCAGAGCGTACAAACGCGCTACAAAACGCCCAGGTGTGAACCGGGCCTTAATGTACAGCGTGGGGCCGCCGCTCATTTTCATATAAGTGATCTGATCAGATCACTTGTATGAAAGGAGCGGCGGCAATCGTGTCCGGCCCCCGCCGCCATGGTTTTCGGGGTCCCCCGCTCCTCTGGGGGACCCGTGACCACGGCACATGAGCCTGTAGAGCAGACTAAGAACGTCTGTTCTTCGTCTGCTCTGTAATCACAGCGCCACCTATCTCAGCTGTCAGGAACTGCACAGAACATCTGTTCTGTGTTGGAGGGCAGGTTCCATAGAGAGAACCTGTCACCTCCAAACTATCACATAAGGTATTTCTAATATCCCTTATGTGATAGCAATAAAATTAAGTGGGGAAAAAAAGTTTAAAATAATTTAAAAAAAAAGTTATAAAAAAAAATTAATTAAAACAAGTGATAAAGTTAAAAAAAAAACCCCAAATTGTTAAACCAACTACACCATCGGTATGCAAATAAATGCATGCATAGGACATTGTGTGTGTGCGTTGAGTGCTGCCGCCATTCCACTGTGTGCCATATTGTTGTAGCCAGGCAGCAGAACTCTCCTACACGCACAACGTGTATTAAAGGGTAAGTTCACTTTCCCAAGTAATATGGGAAAATTGAATTATCCGATCAAATCTGGCCCGATCTCTCCCAAACCCATCCCCGGCTATGCTTACCTTTCGGCGGACAGTCCTTACACTCCGCCAGTACAGGTGTACTATCTGTACCCCGTACAGCAGTCCAGCCCTATGCATTTTGAATTTCGCTCGCACATTGCAAGCACTCATTGGTCAGCGTGGTCACCTGATCAATGAGAAGCGCTATATAGCACAATCAAATACAGTTTTGATTAGGGATCAGGGATACTCGCCCAAATGCTCCGATACCTTCCCCAATACTGGAACTTCGGGTCAGCTGAAGATTGCCTCTGACCGGCAGTGCCGTAGGGGAACATGGAGCCAGCTTCCCATGCAATCAGGAAGCAGGACAGCGACTAATGACCCACCTCCCGATTTCCTGAGTCAGGTCATTACTCGCCACCCGTTTTCCTGATTGGCTGGGAAGCCGTTTTCCCGGCCAAACAACACGGAGTCGGCTTCCCTGGCAAACAGGAAGCTGGGTAGCATGTAATTACCTGCTGCCCAGCTTCCTGATTGCCCGGGAAGCCTGCTCCATGCCAACGGAAGCACCGATACTTGGTATCGGCGAGTACCAAAAGCAAAATATCAGTACTCGTACTCAATACCCAAAAACCTATATCGGTGCATCCCTAGTTTTGATTAAAACTATTTTTTTGTATTGGGACAAGTAGATTGTCATGAGGGACAAGTAGATTCGGCCCCCGCTTTAGCCCATGGACAAGTAGTTATTTTTTTTTTTTATTATTTCCACACCCCTGTAAGTGATTTGAAATAGCTTAGAACCATTTTGACTTTAATATAATTTTAACAAGGAAGACTGCACAAAACCATAGGCCAAATGAAAAGCTGGACAACCTGAACCCACCAAGGGGTCAAACAATAACCAGTTCCTGTTTTTGGGAGGAAAAACAACCAACAACTAACCTTGTTAGCAAGGAAAGTTAACAAGTGCCTAGTAAAAAGCAGGTACCAGACAAACAACCTGGGAAAATGTATTTGTAAAAGACGACCAGCTGGTCTTGAAGAAGGCACGGTGCCCCTACTCACCTGGCCTGAAAGTGTTCAAGAAACGCAAGACTTACCAGGGGAGAACCCTGAATAGACTATAACCACAACCTACAAGGAATGTGAAAATGACTCCTGAATCCAGCAAAGAACCCAGGATTAATCCCCCAAAGTCAGCATTAACAAAGGAGAACGCACTCACAAAGATATGCAAAGGGAACCTCTGGGGCAGCAGGAACCCTGCTGAAAACATATCCCACCTAACCTTGAATTCAAGAGTCACAGGGCTAATGAAGCAGCAGGATTTGTGGCACAAAGGACAGGAGTTTTACCAGGACAGTGAGGAACATTGGCCTGAGTGAATTTTAAAACAAGGGACAGTGTCAGAAAGGTCTCAAGCTGCAATTCAGTCAAGGGAGAGGGTTCCAACTCCAGGTGGGCAGGTTCCACAGAGTCTTCAAGGCATTTGCTGTTGCTGACCAAAGATACCTGCAGCATGAGACTACTTTGTTCTTCCCACAGACAGCCCAGGTAGACTCTGGGCCCTCCATTGACATCTTTCACCTGCAGCTCAGGGTCCGAGATGCACCTAGGTGAGAGAACCTCACCCCCATGTCCAGAAGCTACTAGCTAGGAAGAACTGGTTGTAAGGTAAGGGGAATCTCCCTTAAAAGAATTGGCGTGGGCAAGACTGACACCCATGGTACTGCCCAAAACCGGAACCAGGCAACCTTTCCTGGATTAAATGAGACCACCCCTTTCCCCATCCTGTGATCAGGTCATCAGAGACAGACATCTTTGTCTGTAAATGATCTAGATCTAGCTGTTGACCCTTTCAGCTAAAAAACTAAGCTAGTGTTCGTTGTCTCCAGGAGACACACAGGTTTCAACCCTAAATACAGGTTTCAATCCTGAAAGCCAGACCCACGCGAATCTTACAGGCATTAAGCCATTTGGAGAGATATTGTCCATTAGGGCCCCCAGCTCTCTTTCCAGTGGGTTGATTGATTGCCCAACAATGGGCATATCAGAAAAAGGCACTAGGCCAGACGCAGGCGTCAACACTCTGAGAAGTTATCAGGTGTGCTGGAGTTACACTCAGGATTCATATCTCTCTTACTGAAGCTGAAAACAAAAAGGTCAGAGAGTGCCTCTGAAGAAGAAGGAGAGAGAACACTGAGTGGTAGCAGGTGCTACTGTTGACCTTACATGCAACAAGGGAAGGGAATGATGCTCTGGATGGGGCACAACTCCAGAGATCGAGCTGACACAGGAACTAGAGCAAGGAGCTTTGGGTTGAGGAGGGGTACCACAATAAGCAACCATGCCCCCAGAAAAGTGGGAGTGCACCTTTATGCCTATTCTCTGAAAGTTTAGCAGGTTTCTTGCTTCCTACCTTGCAAGTTAAGAATCAGGCTTCACAAGAAGCAGATGAGAAGGAAAGATAGGAGAGTCTCAGCCATGGACTTTTTACATCGAGGCAGGTATCCACAATCATGGCATCAAGGGTAGGACCAAAGAGATGGAGTCCCTTGACAACGGAGTGAGTCAGACACTCCTTAGATGCACCATTTAAGTCTCAGCATCTTAACCAGAGTGCTATGCATAGCTCTGTGGACATCGGCCACATAAAGGACACAACTTTAGCCTTCACAACAGAACCGGAAGGCTTCAGACATTTGATTCAAGCACTCTATTAGGAAGGGGTCTACCTCAGCA